TTGTACCTTACTTTCAGTTTGTCTAGGTCATCTTGTAACTTCTTGCTGCCTTCCTCTGCCATAATCCTTCTCATAATTTGCGAATCATCGACAAACATTGAAAGGAATGAGACTACTCGCTCTGGAAGACCGTTTACATATAAGACAAACATGATTGGTTCAAGACCTGAGCCTTGTGGGACTCACTAGTGACGTCTCGCCACTCTGGGACATCATCCCTCACAGTGACACCCTGTCTTCTGTTGCTTTGGTACTCCTTTATCCGCTGGAGTACCTTCCCTGTCACGCCTGCCTGCCTGCTTCTCTGCCTGCCTGCTCCCCCGGCAGGGGAGCCGGTCGGCCGAGCGGACAGCACGCTGGACTTATGATCCTGTGGTCCAGGGTTCGATCCCGGGCGCCGGCGAGAAACAATGAACAGAGTTTCTTTCACCCTATGTTCCTGTTACCTAGCAGTAAAATAGGGACCTGGGTGTTAGTCAGCTGTCACGGGCTGCTTCCTGGGGGTGGAGGCCTGGTCGAGGACCGGGCCGTGGGGACACTAAAGCCCCGAAATCATCTCAAGATAACCTCAAGATTCTCCAACCTTCGCACAAGTCTGGTATTGTGTGTGTGTGTGTGTGTGTACTCACCTAGTTGTACTCACCTAGTTGTGTTTGCGGGGGTTGAGATCTGGCTCTTTGGTCCCGCCTCTCAACCGTCAATCAACAGGTGTACAGATTCCTGAGCCTATCGGGCTCTGTCATATCTACACTTGAAACTGTGTATGGAGTCAGCCTCCACCACATCACTTCCTAATGCATTCCATTTGTCAACCACTCTGACACTAAAAAAGTTCTTCCTAATATCTCTGTGGCTCATTTGGGCACTCAGTTTCCACCTGTGTCCCCTTGTGCGTGTTCCCCTTGTGTTAAATAGACTGTCTTTATCTACCCTATCAATCCCCTTCAGAATCTTGAATGTGGTGATCATGTCCCCCCTAACTCTTCTGTCTTCCAGCGAAGTGAGGTTTAATTCCCGTAGTCTCTCCTCGTAGCTCATACCTCTCAGCTCGGGTACTAGTCTGGTGGCAAACCTTTGAACCTTTTCCAGTTTAGTCTTATCCTTGACTAGATATGGACTCCATGCTGGGGCTGCATACTCCAGGATTGGCCTGACATATGTGGTATACAAAGTTCTGAATGATTCTTTACATAAGTTTCTGAATGCCGTTCGTATGTTGGCCAGCCTGGCATATGCCGCTGATGTTATCCGCTTGATATGTGCTTCAGGTGACAGGTCTGGCGTGATATCAACCCCAAGTCTTTTTCCTTCTCTGACTCCTGAAGAATTTCCTCTCCCAGATGATACCTTGTATCTGGCCTCCTGCTCCCTACACCTATCTTCATTACATTACATTTGGTTGGGTTAAACTCTAACAACCATTTGTTCGACCATTCCTTCAGCTTGTCTAGGTCTTCTTGAAGCCTCAAACAGTCCTCTTCTGTTTTAATCCTTCTCATAATTTTAGCATCGTCCGCAAACATTGAGAGAAATGAATCGATACCCTCCGGGAGATCATTTACATATATCAGAAACAAGATAGGACCGAGTACAGAGCCCTGTGGGACTACACTGGTGACTTCACGCCAATCGGAGGTCTCACCCCTCACCGTAACTCTCTGCTTCCTATTGCTTAGATACTCCCTTATCCACTGGAGCACCTTACCAGCTACACCTGCCTGTCTCTCCAGCTTATGTACCAGCCTCTTATGCGGTACTGTGTCAAAGGCTTTCCGACAATCCAAGAAAATGCAGTCCGCCCAGCCCTCTCTTTCTTGCTTAATCTGTGTCACCTGGTCGTAGAATTCTATCAAGCCTGTAAGGCAAGATTTACCCTCCCTGAATCCATGTTGGCGATTTGTCACGAAGTCCCTTCTCTCCAGATGTGTTACCAGGTTTTTTCTCACGATCTTCTCCATCACCTTGCATGGTATACAAGTCAAGGACACTGGCCTGTAGTTCAGTGCCTCTTGTCTGTCGCCCTTTTTGTATATTGGGACCACATTCGCCGTCTTCCATATTTCTGGTAGGTCTCCCGTCTCTAGTGACTTACTATACACTATGGAGAGTGGCAAGCAAAGTGCCTCTGCACACTCTTTCAGTACCCATGGTGAGATCCCATCTGGACCAACAGCCTTTCTAACATCCAGATCCAGCAGGTGTCTCTTGACCTCCTCTCTCGTAATTTCGAACTCCTCCAAGGCCGCCTGGTTTACCTCCCTTTCTCCTAGCACAGTGACCTCACCCTGTTCTATTGTGAAGACCTCCTGGAACCTCTTGTTGAGTTCCTCACACACCTCTCTGTCATTCTCTGTATACCTGTCCTCGCCTGTTCTAAGTTTCAATACCTGTTCTTTCACTGTTGTTTTCCTTCTAATGTGACTGTGGAGTAGCTTTGGTTCGGTCTTGGCTTTGTTTGCTATATCATTTTCAAAACTTTTCTCTGCTTCTCTTCTCACCCTGACGTACTCATTCCTGGTTCTCTGGTATCTCTCTCTGCTCTCTGGTGTTCTGTTATTCCGCAAGTTCCTCCACGCCCTTTTGTTCAGTTTCTTCGCTTCCATACATGCCCTATTATACCATGGATTGTTCTGTTGCTTCTCGGATTTTTCCCTTTGGGCCGGGATGAACCTGTTTACTGCCTCCTGACACTTTAGGTAACATAGTCCTCCATACCCTGTACAGACTTGTCTCTGAGGTCTGTGTCCCAAGGTATTTCCCTTAGGAAATTTTTCATCTGTTCATAATTCCCCTTTCGGTATGCCAGCCTTTTGATTCCTAGTTATTTTTGGGGGGAGATAATTCCTAGCTCTACCAGGTACTCAAAGTTCAGTACACTGTGGTCACTCATTCCCAAGGGCGCTTCCATCTTAACTTCCCTTATATCCCATTCATTTAGGGTAAATATCAAATCAAGCATTGCTGGTTCATCTTCTCCTCTCATTCTTGTTGTGTGTGTGTGTGTGTGTGTGTGTGTGTGTGTGTGTGTGTGTGTGTGTGTGTGTGTGTGTGTGTGTCGTCCCTTCACTTTCTAGCGTGTGGTTTGGTCAAGATATTTCAGCCACGTTATTGTGACTCATCGTCTGCATCTGAAATTCTAAATATCTTGGCTACAGTAAGTTTTGTTTTTGTATTCAAAGTGTGAGTTCCATGCCAGTGCTGCGCATCAGTTCCATGCCAGTGCTGCGCATCAGTTCCATGCCAGTGCTGCGCATCAGTTCCATGCCAGTGCTGCGCATCAGTTCCATGCCAGTGCTGCGCATCAGTTCCATGCCAGTGCTGCGCATCTTCCATCTGTACATAGACTATTATGCAAGTGTTCAGGGTTATGAAAGATTAAGTCTTAAAGTTCCTACAAGCTCTTTTCACATCAACTAGTTTTGCATATGCTACTGATGTTATCTTGTTTATGTTTGGTTTTGATGTGTGAATCGATGTGATGTTCACTACTAGTTTTGATTTTTCTTTGTCGAAGTCCCTAGCTGTCTCCACCTCAGTTTAAAATGCTCTTCTGGCCGCCTTTCTCCCTTATCCAGACTCATAACTTTGCATGTTGGTTTGAGTTGATCTCTAAAAACCATTTCTTAAACGATCCTTTATGCTGTTTGTGTCTTCTTGCAGCATTATACTTTTATGTACCTCATCAGCTTAGACTCATCTACACACACACATCATCATGATAAAATCCCCGTTCGCTGGAGGATCATTAACATAGATTAGATATAATTGGCCCGCCACATCTCCTCCTATCCAGGCGAATCCTTTCTTATCCAGTTGATCTCCCCGTGGATAAGGTCTTCAAGTATCAGTAGTCGAGATGCTGTGGGGTGTGCGACTCGATCTCCTAGTTACCTCTCGGCCTCTGCTATGATTGGTATCATCTTATTTTAGTTTACTGCTGTTAGGTTAATATTTAATAGCTAATTCCAGCTGTTCATTTGCCTATTACAGTTATCTTCATAATGTGGTATATTATGTGTGTAACTGTAGCTCAGCTCTTGGGTCCCAACTCTTTAGTATTGACTCGTGAGGCACCCCCTTCTCCCCATTAACTGCATGAGTTTTTTTTATATTATTTAAATTTGAATTCGTTTATGGATCTATTCATACACGAATTTCACTATTTCTTTACTCACAGGATTTCACTCACTCCCTAAAAAAGTTGCTTCTGAGATTTCTCTAACTCACTTTGGATTTCAGTTTCTCTCACATAATGTGAACAGAGAGTTAAGTCAACGTTATCAGTTCTTAATTTCACAATATTGTTTTCTTTCGTCCAGTAGTTTAGACTTTGTTGTGGTGCCTTCATATCTTGAGCTGAGGGCCTGGCCTGGCCTGCCGGCAGACCTCTGGACTTTCTCAAGCATTTGATATTCTTAACAAGGAGTGTGCTCGAGGCTACCAACCGCAGTCTCCAATATTGGTCTTTAATATTTGGGGCACAATATGCTGAAGGATTTCCTTGTGGAGTTTCTGTGTGGGTCTTCTCACATTGGTTAGTCGGATGTGTGTGTGTGTGTGTGTGTGTGTGTGTGTGTGTGTGTGTGTGTGTGTGTGTGTGTGTGTGTGTGTGTGTGTGTGTGTGTGTGTGTGTGTACTAGTTGTGCCCTGCAGGGTCGAGCTGTTAGCTCTTGGACCCCCATCTTTCAAACAGTCGGTTGTTTAATGTAGTGTCTCCCGACATATTTGCCTTCTGTTATATTTACTACACACACACACACACACACACACACACACACACACACACACACACACACACACACACACACTCCCCTGCATCGTGGAGCATCCTGGTGTCCCATCCCTACAACATATCCCTTATTAATATATGTCTCCCCACCACACACAGACCCATGCTCCCCACCACACAGACCCACGCTCCCCACCACACAGACCCACGCTCCCCACCACACAGACCCACGCTCCCCACCACACAGACCCACGCTCCCCACCACACAGACCCACGCTCCCCACCACACACAGACCCACGCTCCCCACCACACAGACCCACGCTCCCCACCACACAGACCTACGCTCCCCACCACACAGGCCCACGCTCCCCACCACACAGGCCCACGCTCCCCACCACACAGACCCACGCTCCCCACCACACACAGACCCATGCTCCCCACCACACAGACCCACGCTCCCACCACACACAGACCCATGCTCCCCACCACACAGACCCACGCTCCCCACCACACAGGCCCACGCTCCCCACCACACAGACCCATGCTCCCCACCACACACAGACCCACGCTCCCCACCACACACAGACCCACGCTCCCCACCACACACAGACCCATGCTCCCCACCACACAGACCCACGCTCCCCACCACACAGACCCACGCTCCCCACCACACAGGCCCACGCTCCCCACCACACAGGCCCACGCTCCCCACCACACAGACCCACGCTCCCCACCACACACAGACCCATGCTCCCCACCACACAGACCCACGCTCCCCACCACACACAGACCCATGCTCCCCACCACACAGACCCACGCTCCCCACCACACAGACCCACGCTCCCCACCACACAGACCCACGCTCCCCACCACACAGACCCACGCTCCCCACCACACACAGACCCACGCTCCCCACCACACAGACCCACGCTCCCCACCACACAGACCCACGCTCCCCACCACACACAGACCCACGCTCCCCACCACACACAGACCCATGCTCCCCACCACACACAGACCCACGCTCCCCACCACACACAGACCCACGCTCCCCACCACACAGACCCACGCTCCCCACCACACAGACCCACGCTCCCCACCACACAGACCCACGCTCCCCACCACACAGACCCACGCTCCCCACCACACAGACCCACGCTCCCACCACACAGACCCACGCTCCCCACCACACACAGACCCACGCTCCCCACCACACACAGACCCACGCTCCCCACCACACAGACCCACGCTCCCCACCACACAGACCCACGCTCCCCACCACACACAGACCCATGCTCCCCACCACACAGACCCACGCTCCCCACCACACAGACCCATGCTCCCCACCACACACAGACCCACGCTCCCCACCACACACAGACCCATGCTCCCCACCACACACAGACCCACGCTCCCCACCACACACAGACCCATGCTCCCCACCACACACAGACCCATGCTCCCCACCACACAGACCCACGCTCCCCACCACACACAGACCCATGCTCCCCACCACACACAGACCCACGCTCCCCACCACACCCTCCAGCGCCACTAACATCACTTCTCTTCCAGCTCTCCTCTAAGATTTTCTGTGTGTGTCTCCACAGCGTCTCAGGTCGGAGGGTGGCACAGCACGGACGGGTGCCAGGGTGGCAGCGACGACAACCCGGGGGTGGACCTGTCGCCGGCACTCAACCTCCCTCCCCCGCGACAACCCGCCACCTCCCCAGGTAACCCCGCCCTCCCCCACGCCCCCGTGGGCAACACGGCCCCCTCCGTCACTTTATTGTCGAGCATGACTCTTGATGTTGCCCCTGACCATGGCCGGGCCCCCCTGGCCGGGGACCATCCCCCTGCACGACCCCCTGGCATGGACCCCCTGCACCTTCCTTCTTTCACATCACCACACTCCGCTACGGACCCGCCTGCTGTGGGCGGCCAGGGGCGGCGGCGGCGGCGGCGTAGCGCCTTCCGCTACCCGTCGCCGCCCCCCTCCCCCCACGCACCTCACCATAAGCCTCAACGTTCTGCTATGATCACTCAGTCTCCCTTGTCCTCCCACCAGGTCATAGACGACTTGCATGTTTACGCTTGGCCTGTAACGGATGTTTCACAGGAGCCGTCGCCAACAGCCGGATTGGATGTAGGAAACAGGATTCCCTCTGTGTCTCCAAGTGTCAGCAAAAACCTGGCAGCTGTGGACGTCACCAGCAGCGTCCTGGGCAGCGGCAGCAGGTCTACGTCAGTCCCAGAGAGCGGCAGCAAGCCTCGGGTATCGGAGCCCTCAGCCAATAAATTAAGCACATTAGATACCAGAAGTGCCGGTATTGATCTAGGGGCGGGCGAGGAGCGGCACTGGCGGCTCGCTGCGCTCACCACTGTGCAGGAAAAACTCATATCATTAAATCATGGAAATGGCGTGGCAGATAACACCCAGGAAGAGCCAGCAACCACTGCGGTACACGCCTCGGCCGCAACCAGACGTGTGAGATCAGCCCCAGATCCCCAACCAACTGCTCCACTATCCTCACCAACTATCTCACCCCTCGCAGGAAGCGTCCAGGAGCTGGCTTATAACCCTGCAGCACCGTCATCGGCATATAATTCTTCGTTTACCACTCCGACGTCAGAAAACACACCGTCGGGAGCCAAAGAAAACCAAGCGGCAGACGTGGGTGCACAGTCGACGTCAAGAAACGGTACACAAGTGGGCTCAGGGGCCTCATCGGTGGTACTCATGAATAATCCAGAAACATTAGGCACAGCAGCAGCACACGGCCAGGACCGTCGGCCGACAGCTGTAACTGGAGCTCCCCATTATGTTATTACAGCAACAGCCGCTGCCACTACAGGGAAGGGTGTTCCGGAATACCACACCACCACCAGCTCACAACTCACTGACGATGAAAATGTAATCTTGGGTGAGAGAGGGAACAGCATGTCGGCAAGCCTCGTGGGGCCCGTCTTACCTGATCACATGACCGCACCTTCATCAGGAGTACTAGAGGATATCTCGCCTCAAGAGGACGCTTCACTATATGACACTGAATATCAAGTAACTCCAGCAACATTAGCAACTCCCCATGCACTACCGCCATTCCTGGGGGACATGCCAGGCCTCGCCCAGCACGAGGTCACACACACCCAACCTAATGATAACCTAGAGAAGCTGGGTACTGCAACAAGGGTTGGAGACCCATATCCTATGGCTCCTGATGTTGAGACTGCAACTACCTGGGTCACCACCTCACAAACAACGTATCAGGTTCCCTTCTTACAAAGTGTGCAGACTTTCTCAGATAGTGGCCAAATCATCCCTACTGCGATAGCAGAAAATTCACAGTTCATCATCAATCAGGTGAGTGTACATTTGCCCGGTGAGCACGTCGTAAAGGGTGTTATTGGCCTGGCCCCACCAATTGATATACCTCCACAAAGCACACTCGACTCACCTGTTGAAGCCTCGATAATGACCGACGAGGTCATTATCGAGTTGAGTGAGTTGAATGGTCATTCAACTCACTCAGCCTCGCTGCTCCGTCCCAAAGTTAAAAGTACAGCCATAGATACTGGTGAGCCAACTGAGATCAACGGCGACGTGAACTCAGCTCTTAATTCTCTCTTAGCAGTGACAACAATGGGAGAAGAGACAACGCAAACACAGGACGTAAGAGCCTTAGTTGCCGCCACTGGAAAGCCCCTCTCAGATGGGCCCATAAAACCCCGCCGCTTGGAGGCTAATAATACAAACCTCGCAGCCTCTCGCGAGGGTTCTCGAGCTAATCACAATGAAGATAATATAATGCCAAATCCGCAAGTTGCGCCAACTATTAGCCATAAAGTCGACTCAGAGCTAGGGGAAGCCCTTGCTAGTGGTCCCAGAGGACAACTAGGGGACCAGCCACTACTTGGAGAAGAGGAAGAACGAGCTGGAGGTGGGCAGGAAAATCCTCAGAAAAAGAATGAAAATCCTCGAGAGGGATTTCAATCGGAACACTCAGACCAACTGAGAAATTACAAAAGACTAGAAAAGGTTCATGACGAGCAATCAGATCATTTTAATCTTCCAGAAAATAGCTTTGAACTTCCACAAATTATAAATATTCTGGAAAATCAAGAGCAGAGAGACGAACCCAGAGGGTTGCATCAAGACCTTGAAGGGAGAACGAGCGATCGTAACCTTAAACTATCTTCTGCCTATAAGGAAAATGTCCATCAGGAGGGCAACGACTTCCAGAGAAGGGGTGGCGACAACGACGACCCAGAGGGGGCTCCCGTCAAGATATTGACGTCGTCTCTCTTCCACCAGGAAGGTCACTACCAAAGGGCAGAGTTCTCCGCTTTGAGGACTGTCCAGCGGGATGCAGCCGACTTTGATGGGAAGCTCGAGAGAGCCCAAGTGTCCTCTGGTGTCTCGAGGGAAGGTGGTGGTGGTGGCCGGCTAAATACTCAGCCTAAGCAACACAACATATTGTTGATGGATCAAAACTATGAACAGCGAGATAATGAAGAACAACAAGAACATAGCACTCTACAAGATAATAATGAACAGCGAGAAAAAGTACAACAGCAAGAACACAGTTCTCTGCAGCAGCAAGATAATAAAGAACAAGAACACAGTTCTCTGCAGCAGCAAGATAATGAAAAACAAGAACACAGTTCTCTGCAGCAGCAAGATAATGAAAAACAAGAACACAGAGCTCTGCAGCAGCAAGATAATGAAGAACATGAACACAGAGCTCTGCAGCAGCAAGATAATGAAGAACAACAAGAACACAGTTCTCTGCAGCAGCAGGATAATGAAGAACAGCAAGAACATGGTGTTCTGCAGCAGCAAAATAATGAAGAACAGCAAGAACATGGTGTTCTGCAGCAGCAAAATAATGAAGAACAGCAAGAACACGGTGTTCTGCAACAGCAAGATAGTGAAGAACCGCAAGAACACAGTGCTGTAAAGCAGCAAGATAATGAAGAACAGCAAGAACACAGTGCTCTAAAGCAGCAAGATAATGAAGAACAGCAAGAACACAGTGTTCTGCAACAACAAATGAAACACGAACATAGTGAATACCAGCAAAATAGTGCAACAACAGAGCCAAATGTAGAAAGAGAACACGGCCAGAAAAGCCATCATGTTATTGATCACAGAGATAACAGAGCGCCTATCCATGGTACCGAGGACAAGCCTGACCTCGAGTCCCCCGCCCACACCCGCGCCATCGCCACCCCTCACGCCCACACGCCCTCCCACGCCCACAATACGATGCCTGTCTTTACACCCACCCACTCACCACCCCAAGAGGAAAGACGGCGTGAAAGCACACAGGAAACTCACGAGGGATTACCCAGAGAGGAGGGTCAGATCCCCATGATTTCCACCTCACGAGAGGAATATAATGTCAGGGATGAAGCAGCGAAGAGGGGATACACAACACACAGTCCTGAGACTTCAGCGGGCGTCAATATTGCCGATAAACACGTTGAAGACGGGTTTTCTGCCGGTGAAGATGCTGTGGATAGTTCTGCCGGAGAAGATGCTGCGGGTAGTTCTGCCAGAGAAGATGCTGTGGGTAGTTCTGCCGGAGAGGACTCTGTGGATCGCTCTGTTGGAGAACACTCTGTGAATGGTTCTGGCGGCGAGTACGAGTCAAGTGGTTCTGTTGCAAAAGACAGTGTTAGGAAAAAAGCTACCCTAGATGACTTATCTGCCGATAAAGTGGTTGAAAGTGGCTCTAACTTGGTAGTTTTACCTGGTTTACAGCGGGAAGATGTTGCAGGAAGATCTTCTGCCGATGAGACATCATCACGGCAAACTGAAGATGGCGAGGATATAACTGATGGCCAGGAGGATTCATCACCATTTTCATCACCAAAACATAGTGAGGTAAATGTTGATCACAGGATTAGTCCCTCGCAACCCTTGGTTGGGCACAACCAACAATCACCCGGTAATGTCGCTGGAAGCGAGGCCTCCCCTGAAATTTCCATGGTAATGGCGGCTGACGATCGGAAAGGGCCAGTAGACCAGGTCATTCCCTCCGGAGCGGTCTCGGCGTCTTCCCTCGTCTACGAGGGGGAAGAGGATGGATGGAGAAGCAACAGTGGAGGATCCTCGAACAAAGAGAGTGAAGGTACAGTTGAAGTGACACCATTCTCGGATATCGATACTCCTTTCGACGCCCGTGAGAGTAATATAAATTCTTACCCGGGCGCTAGTGGCTCTCTCGCTCTCCCTATCATTGGAGATATTTCGCTGCAAAAAATACCTTTATCTGTAAGGGACCAACAAACCAGCGTTGGAATCACCGGCATTGATGGAATTGGAATCAATGACCTAGAGGACAAAGATCAAAGAAGCAAAACAAGAAACGGAATTTCTCTTTCCAAGAGCAACCAAACTGGAGAAATTGCCGCCAAGGGTCCCTCTGCCCCGGCGACACACACAGGCCACAGTGTTATCCTGCCAGAGGAGTATAAACGCCAGAAAAGTATCGAATCTCTGGAAAAGCAATCAGCTCCTGGGTTTCTGGAAGCATCCACCAGACCGGGTTACAGTGAGCGTAAGGAATCGAGTATCGATACAGAGGGATCTGAAGCCAACCAAGGACACTCTTTCCTTTCAAGAAGCAATCAAATGGTGGGTGATCCCAATCAGGAGTCCGTCCACGCTCACGTCAGCTCACTGGATCCTGTTGAGGAAAATAGAGATCAGATCCCGTCTCCATCGATCTTGAGTAACAGCGACGTGGGCGGTAATATGATGAGTTCTGACGAGTACGAGTATGATAAAGATTATCCTTACTATTTCAGTGGAATCTTTGATTATGAACCCTTGGATGAAGAGACGGATTATGAAGAAAGAAACAATAATCACGATGGAGAAGTGGGAAAGGAGGATAATTCCAGGCACGAGGGTATTGAAGAGGACGAGAGAGATCTCAAGAGGATTCCAGGAGGCTCACTGGATCGCACTCGGGAAGGTTCATTACTGGACGAGGAGAGCGACAGTGGACCTTCAGAAGGGACCCACACCATCCGTCGTCCCACCCTACCTACGACAGCGCACGTGTCGTCGTCTGGCTCCATTTCCTCCGAGGGGAGTGGCGACCCTGACGCAACTAGTGAGGCAACCCATGTAGATTTAGCTGCTAGAAGAACCTTGGATGCTCAGGGAGCTTATCACAGCAACATTTCAACTGATAGCAATAGCGACAGTATTTCTACTGGCAGCAGCGATAGCGTCTATGATAACAGCAGCAGTGATAGTACTAATGGCAACACCAGCACTATTCCCCATGACGGCAGCCCCAGCGGCCGGCCGGGTGGTTCACATCACAGTGTTATGCCCCATCGCGAACCATGGCAATCCCAGGATTCCCCATGCAAATGTCCGTGTCAGTGCGATGGAGGTGAGAATCCCCCAATAATGCCAGGGCGTGTCGAGGCAAATCTCAATTCTGGGTCTGGTGCAGGTGGGCCGGGCCACCAGGAGAGCCCAGCCTCGCCCCCAGCCTCGCCCCCAGCCCACGAGCACCGCCACCGGCACCACCACAACGGCACCAGGTCCTCCACGCACACACACCACGCTACCACACAATCACTAACTTCCTACACACTAGAAACAGATAGCGACAAGGACTTAACAAACATTCAGTCAGCTGTAGACGCCCATACGCCCACGCCGCCTTTGTCGCATCATTCTACCATCGTTGACATGGTGCTTGAGGCACCAAGACTCGATGGAAATGTGTATGTAGACGGCGCCGAGGCTTACTTAGCTGTAGACGGAGCCAACACGGCCGAGGATGTCGTGGTGATCAGGAAACACAGTTACACACTTGTCAATGCCCCGGCAGTGACACATGTCGTAGCCGCTCCGGACGTGGTCTTCGCCGGCTCCACAAGACCGACGCTCGCGCCCACAACTGCCACCAGCACCACAAACCTGCCCACCATCCATGCCACGCTGATGCTAGACACGCCAGGTGAGTCGACGCTCTGGTACCAATACTAACATCACCATAGTGCTTGGAATCTTGCGGCAGCAAGACAGTTAAATACAATGCGACCTTGTTTATTCAGATTAATTAGTGTCGTCCGGATATTTGGATATCTGAAAATTTTATCATCGTATAAATGATCAAAACATATTATATAAACCTATCATTTAAATCAATGTCACGAAAGAAATGCGCCATAAGGAATTAGGTGATAATATGTTTCAGATATATTAAAAATTTTTATATTTAAATTATCCTACAATATTTGCTCCGTGGCTGCTTGCTTCCTTTTGATTTCCCGCCCAAAAGGCATGCTATTGAACAGGGGTATTTATGGTAAACAGTGGTGGCCCGTAACGACATCAATCCTCTAACACACCCTGCACATCTGAAGGGTTTTCCTCGCCTCAGTTGCCATACAGGCCATTCCCCAGAATTGTTCTTTTGCGGAACTGCAGTTTAAAGTGCAGCTGCTGTTATTTATGGCGGGCGAGCACGCCACGGCTCCCAGTACACCCAGGTAATCACGCGGCGCGCGCGCACACACACACACACACACACACACGTATTCAACAAAACACATACACATTTCTGAATACACTCATACACACGCGCTTCCACCCCCGTCGGTAATGCACACGAGCTGACGTACAGTGATATACCCACATACACAAACATACACGTTCATGAATAATAAGTATATCGCCGGTATTATGCTAGGGCTTCTCGACCCGCTTGCGTCCAACCATAAAACTACTCGCAAGGAATATATGAATTTATATTTGTCTATCTCCGTACTCCTCTTTGTCTCATGAACGCTCGTTCGAGCGCCCACTCTCGCTCGCGTCCGCTCTCTCTCTCTCTCTCTCTCTCTCTCTCTCTCTCTCTCTCTCTCTCTCTCTCTCTCTCTCTCTCTCTCTCTCTCTCTCTCTCTCTCTCTCTCTCTCTCTCTCTCAAACCAGAGCCATATATTCATATTGGTTTAGCACTTTCTCCCGGTAAATACCTTACTCTCAAACAGACCTTTACCTCTATGGTAACTTGAGACACTCTGTTCACTTTACCAGAATCGTTGCATAAATGTACTATTTCAACACCATCTTCCTACTCACCATCCTGAAGGTGTGGCATCACTATCACTGGCTAGTCCTCATAAACATTGTATAACGTCTCCAAGACGCCGGTTGCTTTATTTCATAAGATCCAAGCATTAGTAGTTTAAACTGTCCGTCCCTATTGTGAATATATTTTTTACATTTTGGTTGAGAGAGAAAGTGGTGTTGACAATTCAACAGGATATTAACATCTCCACAATTTAACGCTAATATTGTAGTGGTCATTGCAGTTATAATTATATATATATATATATATATATATATATATATATATATGTGTGTGTGTGTGTGTGTGTGTGTGTGTGTGTGTGTGTGTGTGTGTGTGTGTGTGTGTGTGTGTGTGTGTGTGTGTGTGTGTGTGTGTGTGTGTGTGTGTGTGTGTGTGTGTGTGTGTGTGTGTGTGTGTGTGTGTGTGTGTGTGTGTGTGTGTGTTGTGTCTGCTTGTAAAGGTTAAAATTGCAAAGTTTCTTAAAATATCACGATTAATAAATGTATGCCAATTAATGCGTAAATATTATGCAACAAATCTTGGCCACAAAACCTGTCATTCAAAACAAGGGAGAGATTATTGATGAGCAGCAATAGCTCTGGTAGTCCCGACAGGCTCATCAACAGCGGCCATGACAGGTGTGGAACCCTAAGGTCTTTACAGGTGTGTCCGGCTGGAGCGGTTCTTAAAGCCTTGCTTCCAATGGTAATTGAGTTGTGGCACGTCAAGTCATTTAGGAACATGGCAGATTTGGACCTTTCAGGCTTTGAAGCCCAGTCAAAATCCTCCTCCATTGAACAAGCAACAACAAAAATATGGTGTCATAAGGCTTTTAAGTCTTGACAGCTTCGAATCATCAGAAATCAGGCACCAACACTTTCTGGAAATCTTGAAAAGTCTTTCATCTTAAAGGGATGAAAGAACATTGAGCCGTCAAAGACTTTGGAGTAAAGATCCCCCCTCAAGAAGGTCTTCACATCTTTGGCGATAGCATCAGTGACCTTTAAAGGGTGTTGTTACACCAAGACCCCGGAACAACTGCTGCTTCACTTGGCCTGCTTCGTCACCAAGAGGGAAAAAAGTGAGGTATTATGAATCTTCAGTGTTTACCTTTTTATCTTAATCTTCCCGTCTTGCTCTCACATAAATTCCTCAACTCATGCATTGCTCTACTTGTAGTTCCTGATGGTTTACTTGCATGTTTAACACACCCTCAAGTGCTTGTTTGTAGGAAAAAAAACTTTATATAGTGTGTGCATTTGTGGCCATCCCTCTAGTGCTTGCATGTGAAACAATCCCTCGAGCGCTTACATGTGTAACACCTGCTCTTGAGCTTACGTGTATGGTAAATAAATATATTAGTGCCACTTCATGCAGTATTTCAATGTAAATTGAGTGTTGGATATGTATGTTTGCAGTCAATCTTTTGTGTGTGTGTGTGTGTGTGTGTGTGTGTGTGTGTGTGTGTGTGTGTGTGTGTGTGTGTGTGTGTGTGTGTGTGTGTGTGTGTGTGTGTGTGTGTGTGTGTGTGTGTGTGTGTGTGTGTATGTGTGTGTGTGTGTGTGTGTGTGTGTGTGTGTGTGTGTGTGTGTGTGTGTGTGAGACTTATAGAATGAGAAACAAACAAGGAATGGGAGAGTAAGAAAGAACCAACGAGTGAGAAAATGTGTGAAAAAGAACGAGTAAGAAAACGAGAATCGTCTGCGAGAGTGTTTAAGAAATAGGGAGCGGGAAGAGAGCCAATAAGGGGGGACTTATGCACAAAAGGGCTAGGCAAAGATGGGTGATACAAAATGCCATAAATCCAAAGTCCCCATTTACCCATAAGCCGCTGCTGCCACCCCCTCCATAAACCACTATTTTCAGAGCATTTTATCCAGACTCTCCTCTAAAGGAACAATTTAGAAAATGACCTTTCTTGAGATCTCGCCGAGCGGTGATTTTCCTCTGATGGGGTATTTGTCGCTCCAGTGATATACAGTGTGTGTTATGGATTTATGTGTGTGTGTGCGGGGGAGGGGGAGAACTGGTACTGTGTGTGTGTGTGTGTGTGTGTGTGTGTGTGTGTGTGTGTGTGTGTGTGTGTGTGTGTGTGTGTGTGTGTGTGTGTGTGTGTGTTGGGTGAACAGTGTATGTGCACATAATTTTGCGTGTGTACATAACTTTGTTGTGTGTGTGAAGTTCAGTGTGTTTGCCCATATCTGAAGGAATGTCTAAACACCTTCTGCATGACCGACGTTAACTACCTAACATCATATGTGCTAGAGGGGACCCCTTGTCACGTGCGTCCCCCCCCCCTGACACGTGCCCCTGACACGTGCCCCTGACACGTGCCCCTGACACGTGCCCCCCCTGACACGAGCCCCACCCCCCCCTAACACGGTCACTATGCTTGTATAGAGACGTTCCCTTGTGTAAGAAGGTATGTCTCCTGTGTGAATTACCTGTATTCTCTAACCATTTATATTCTCAGCTTCAGGTTTTTTTAACAGTCAGTAGTCTAAGTACCGAGAGAGAGCATCACTAACAGCCAAAACTTACAGTTAACGAGGTAGTTACTAGATCCTAATAGGAGGCCCTTCCTTGCTTCTGTAACAAGTGTTACCCACAAGTATTTTTACTGTCTTGTGCTGACAAGTATATCTATATACATCACTATCAGCCCGCAGACAAGATATATATAGTGAAGACTTTGACGTGGACACTTAACTACTCAACTACGAATTACATACAACTCAACAGATAATTGGGAAGGCTGTTTGTCGTGGTTTTCGTGAGACATTCTGGGAGTTCTGGCTTCGTGGGGACGTGACTCGCCCGTCCACAGCTGTGTAGTAGGTCTGGTGACTCACAATATATGGGGAGCTTAATGACTCACAACATATAGGGAGTTTAGTGACTCACAACATATAGGGAGCTTAATGACTCACAATATATGGGGAGCTTAGTGGCTCACAACATATAGGGACCTTAGTGGCTCACGACATATATATATATTTATATATGTTGAACCCTTGTTTGGGTTGACCCAAGTCATCCCATAAGATGTTCAACAGTGTTGAGGTAGACTTGATACACTGTGGTTTAGGGTAGTCAGTGTTGCAGTAACTCTCCAGACACCAGAGAGAGGAGTCCCAGAGGTGTTTGAGCTCTCCTCCTCACCCACTGCTTGAGGAACTGTCGCCTCGTTTTCTTTACTTTAACCATTTCCATATTTTTCCAACTTGTGATGTATCGCTTTATTCAACTTAATCTGTCATCCAGCAACCTCTTCAGGTTTCATTCTATAATCCTTAACAAAATCTGCCTAACTTATTTCACGGCATTTTATCGTCACAATCTTTGTATATATATTTCACTATCATCCTTGTCTCGCAAGCCAACATTCTATACATCCTACCCCACATCACAACCTGAGCCGGTTCCACTGCCTACTGTACGGTCTACGCCTGAATCCCATTCCACAAACTATTTCCTCTCACCTCTTGCAGGTGGGATGACGGTGCGGCGCCCCCAGCAAGTGGCGCCTCCGGACGGAGCCTCGTTTTCCGCTCTGGCGCTGGGGGAGGAGAAGGCCTTCACCCTCACTCCGTACGGCTACTGGAACATCCACCTTACACTCAACGACCTTACTGATCTCAAGATCACTCTCACCATCCCCAGGTAGGTCCTCAGATACGTCACTAAGCTTGGCTACATTGACAATGTCTCAGGTTGGTTGATCAGTCCAGCAACCAGGAGGCCTGGTCGACGACCGAGCCGCGGGGACGCTAAGCCCCGGAAGCACCGCAAGGTAACCTCAAGGTTAGTTAGTGCTTGAAGAGTCTTCTAGATTACGACAGGTCCTCCTGGTACGTGGAAGCTGGCGATCGCTTGAGTGGAAACGTCCCAGGTGGACTTCATTGTGAGTGGCTGCTGCAGTTGAAGCTTGCGAGAGAAGGCTGCAGAGACAAGCGGTTTTATTTAATACATTTAATGGAGGAGGATTCAGAGTCGGTCCAAAAGGATGGGAAGTAAACAGCTTCATCCATGTGCAAGGATATAATCATATTTTAATACTACCATCCACTTGCAAGTCAAATCCTATCCATGTGTTTCCATGTGTTAAACCCAAACTTACAATTCATTCCATGATTAGTCTTAAGTTAAATATCTTCCATAACTAAAAGCAAAAGAAAAGCACATTTTTTGGTGTATATATATTAACATATATATTGACTATGGATAAAGAGCCAATGTTCGAAATACGGAGTCAGCAGCGAGAGCAACAGAATGCGAACAGACCAAGCAGAGAAATGCATTAGAGTGTAGCGAAGCGAGAGATCAATTCCCCCCAGACACCATAAACATGCCGGGGTGTGCTGGCCGGCCTCGCTCTGTCACCCTGGCGGCTTCGACACACCTCGGCTCTAATAACCCGCCATGCAGCGGATCCTGCAAGAGTTCTCGCTGTTGATCTGCAGCTTCGCGGGTGCTGTTCCCTCCAGGGGGGGGGGGGGTCCGAGTACCAGGAGGGGGGGGGTTGTCGTGTTCCCGGGGTCTGGGTAACTGGTGTGTGTGTACTCACCTGGTTGAGCTCTGGCTCTTTGGTCCCGCCTCTCAGTTGTCAATCAACTGGTGTTCAGATTCCTGAGCCTACTGGGCTCTATCATATTTACATTTGAAACTGTGTATGGAGTCTGCCTCCACCACATCATTACCTATTTATTAACTACTCTGACACTAAAAAAAAAATTCTTTCTAACGTCTCTGTGGCTCATCTGGGTACTAAGTTTCCACCTGTGTCCCCTTGTTCGTGTTCCACCCGTGCTAAAGAGTTTGTCTTTGTCCACCCTGTCAATTCCCCTGAGAATTTCGTAGGTGGTTATCATGTCCTCCCTTACTCTTCTGTCTTCCAGGGACGTGACTTTCAGCTCCTTTAGTCTTACCTCGTAGCTCATACCTCTCAGTTCCGGGACGAGTCTGGTAGCATACCGCTGAATCTTCTCTAACTTTGTCTTGTGTTTAACTAGGTATGGACTCCAGGCTGGAGCTGCATATTCCAAGATTGATTTGACATAAGTTGCATACAGGGTCCTGAACGATGTGTGTGTGTGTTTACTAGTTGTGTTTTTACTAGTTGTGTTTTTGCGGGGGTTGAGCTTTGCTCTTTCGGCCCGCCTCTCAACTGTCAATCAATTGTTTACTAACTACTAATTTTTTTTTTTTTTTTTTTTTTTTTTTTTTTTTTTTTTTTTTTTTTTCCCACACCACCCACACACACACCCCAGGAAGCAGCCCGTGACAGCTGACTAACTCCCAGGTACCTATTTACTGCTAGGTAACAGGGGCACTTAGGGTGAAAGAAACTTTGCCCATTTGTTTCTGCCTCGTGCGGGAATCGAACCCGCGCCACAGAATTACGAGTCCTGCGCGCTATCCACCAGGCTACGAGGCCCCTGTAAAGGCCCCTACGAGGCCACACAGGGGCCCCTGGCCCCTGTGTGTGTGTGTGTGTGTGTGTGTGTGTGTGTGTGTGTGTGTGTGTGTGTGTGTGTGTGTGTGTGTGTGTGTGTGTGTGTGTGTGTGTGTGTGTGTGTGTGTGTGTGTGTGTGTGTAATTATCTGTGTAGTTAACTAAGTGTAGTTACAGGACGAGAGCTACGCTCGTGGTGTCCCGTCTTCCCAATACTCTTTGTCGTATAACACTTTGAAACTACTGAGAGGTTTTGGCCTCCACCACCTTCTCACTTAACTTGTTCCAACCGTCTACCATTCTGTTTGCAAAAGAAAATTGTCTAATATAATTTCGGCACCTTTTGTTTCCTTAGCTCGAATATATGTCCTCTTGTTCGTGAAGTTGCTGGTTTCAGGAATTCCTCTTTGTCAAATTGGTCGATCCCTGTTAGTATTTTGTAGCTGGTGATCATATCTCCTTTTTTTTTCTTCTATCTTCTATCGTGCGTGTGTGTGTGACTGTACTTGTCAGAGGTTGTGGTTATCTGCTTTTACAGAGTCATCCATTGTACTTTTCTTTGCTGAATTCGAACTTTGGATAATTCAGTATACTGGCTTCAGCTACTTTCTGATCTTCACCATCTTGCAACCATCCAACTCACTACCATCTTGCAACCATCTAACTCACCACCATCTTGCAAGCAGCATCTCTCCGACATAATGTCGATATGACCTCCAAAACGACCAAGTCTGTCAGTCATACCTGCCGTCCCATTTTCCAGTAACATGGAAACTGGAAAAAACTTCCCCGTGTGGAAACTGGAAATTTCTGAACACACGGATGAGTCGATTCACAACTTTAAGGCCTGATTCAACAAAGGATTCGAATGGCAAGATAGTTTACCTAAATATACCTGAAGGCCGTTCTCTCTCTCTCTCTCTCTCTCTCTCTCTCTCTCTCTCTCTCTCTCTCTCTCTCTCTCTCTCTTTCTCTTTCTCTTTCTCTTTCTCTTTCTCTTTCTCTCTCTGTCTCTCTCTCTCTCTCTTTCTCTTTCTCTTTCTCTCTCTCTCTCTCTCTCTTTCTCTCACTCTCTCTCTCTCTCTCTCTCTCTCTCTCTCTCTCTCTCTCTCTCTCTCTCTCTCTCTCTCTCTCTCTCTCTCTCTCTCTCTCTCTCTCTTTCTCTCTCTCTCTCTCTCTCTCTCTCTCTCTCTCTCTCTCTCTCTCTCTCTCTCTCTCTCTCTCTCTCTCTCTCTCTCTCTCTCTCGTGACCTCGACGGGGACAAAAAGCCAACGTAATCCTAAATTATAAAGCCCCAGATATAAAACCATTAGACTGGACTTACAGATCTAAACCTTGTTTCCCCGTAGCTACTGGCAGCCAAGCATTACCTCCCCAACACACCACAACAACGGGGAAAACGGTCCACAACCAGCAAGATCTTCCCGAAAGACTAAATGACCACAATGTGCCACTTTCTGGTCCTAAGGCTCCGGTATAAATCAGCGCCATGGTTGAAATAATCGCCACATCTCTTCTCGCGCCCCTTTGGCGAATATCCACTTTTGTTGTATTTCCGGACAATCCAAACTAAACCAAAAATGGGCGTTCTTTTATGTTTTAAGCAAGTTTCTCGTATTTGTTTTGTTTTTTTCGCGGGTTTTTTGGTAGTCGACGCGACGACGCGAGGGTTGACTAGGAATGCTGAGGACGAGTAACTACATCTATCGTGTTTTGGGGGCGTGTTTTTGCCCTCTGGTTCCCCGCCTCCGTCGACCAACATCCTCCGCCAGAACGCGATTCACTTTCTCGTCCTCGATATCCGCGAAATTCTGTGGCTTGGAAATACAGGCACGTTTGTGGTGTGTGTGTGTGTGTGTGTGTGTGTGTGTGTGTGTGTGTGTGTGTGTGTGTGTGTGTGTGTGTGTTTGTGGTCACCTATTTGTGCTTGCGGGGATTGAGCTTTGGCTCTTTAGTCCCGCCTCTCAACTGTGTGTGTATTCGTGCGGGGCAGTCATGCAAGAGGGTGAGCCTTTTGTGTGAGTGAACTTCAGTTCCTGGGCTCCGCCATTCGGTTGCTAGCTTCCCATTGCAATGGCTCGCTATCCATTTAACCCACACCCCTTATTATTCGCCACTCTTCCCTTGAAGAATAGCTCTTTTAAACACCCCTATGACTATACAGAATGCCTATACTTTGCACCTCCATTTTCTTACATGACAAGCGTGACGGGTCTGACCATTTTGTCAATGCCTCTTTGATTTCGTCATGATCACGGCAATCTTTTATGTCGTAATCATGTGCAAGTGGCCGTACTCATTCCACATACATGCTTGAGCGCCATAGCTCCTGGGCGTCAGCTTTCAACTGTTCGTTCAGTTAGCTTCTGTGTGTATTTATCTACTCACATGACAGGCCTTAATGAAGTCGAGATTCAGCTCTTGGGGCCCACACCTTTAAGCATTCAGTTAACTGGTGTTTGATGACGTGGTCGTGGGTGAAGCACTCACAACAGAACAAGAGTATGAAGCACTCACAGCAGAACAAGAGTATGAAGCACTCACAACAGAACAAGAGTATGAAGCACTCGCAACAGAACAAGAGTATGAAGCACTCACAACAGAACAAGAGTATGAAGCACTCACAACAGAACAAGAGTATGAAGCACTCACAACAGAACAAGAGTATGAAGCACTCACAGCAGAACAAGAGTATGAAGCACTCACAACAGAACAAGAGTAGGAAGCACTCACAACAGAACAAGAGTAGGAAGCACTCACAACAGAACAAGAGTATGAAGCACTCACAGCAGAACAAGAGTATGAAGCACTCACAACAGAACAAGAGTAGGAAGCACTCACAACAGAACAAGAGTAGGAAGCACTCACAACAGAACAAGAGTATGAAGCACTCGCAACAGAACAAGAGTATGAAGCACTCACAACAGAACAAGAGTATGAAGTACTCGCAACAGAACAAGAGTATGAAGCACTCGCAACAGAACAAGAGTATGAAGCACTCACAACAGAACAAGAGTATGAAGCACTCACAACAGAACAAGAGTATGAAGCACTCACAACAGAACAAGAGTATGAGGAACTCACAACAGAACAAGAGTATGAAGCACTCACAACAGAACAAGAGTATGAAGCACTCACAACAGAACAAGAGTATGAAGCACTCACAACAGAACAAGAGTATGAAGCACTCGCAACAGAACAAGAGTAT